TAAGATCGGCTGGCTGGACAATCTCGGCGTGTCAATAGGTACTTTCTGGTAATGCAACCTTCACCACACAGTTAAAATGCACGATCGACCAAAAAATCCTCGATGTTGTCATTTTTATTCCCCTTAAGGAAAGAAATATAACTACAGTGATCCCAGCTCAGGCCCTTCCATCAAAGATAAGTACGTCACAGCTCTTTACTTCACCTTCAGCAGTCTGACCAGTGTGGGCTTTGGGAACGTCTCCCCCAATACCAACTCTGAGAAGATCTTTTCCATCTGTGTCATGCTCATTGGATGTAAGTTACCATGCTTCTCCCTAAAGTTCCTTCTATTCACTTACGTATTCAACCCTCAGTGTATGCACCTACCGGTATTTATCACTGCACTTTGGGTTCGTTTGGCAGCTCTAATGTACGCCAGCATCTTTGGGAACGTGTCCGCCATCATCCAGAGGTTGTACTCTGGCACGGCCCGGTATCACCTCCAAATGCTACGAGTCAAAGAATTTATCCGCTTCCATCAGATCCCCAACCCGCTCAGACAGAGGCTGGAGGAGTATTTCCAACACGCGTGGACATACACCAATGGCATCGACATGAATATGGTAGGAGTTGGAGTGTTTTGGTTTCTTACGTTTAGTGCAAAGAGAAGTACGAAGAGTTTGTTTTTGCTTCCCATTGTTCCTTCTCTCTCTCCTCCAGTTTCATTTGTGAGTTGGATGTTTTGAACCCAGTTTTTGCTGATTGTCAACTGGGACATTAAGTTGCCATTCCTGTCCTCTTACCGAATCAGTGACGCTCCCTTGCTATGTCATTGGCATAGTATAATGTTTTCATTTGTTATTCCACTCAATGTTCAGTCATAGCCGCAGTTGCAACAAAACTTTGTTTGCAGGAAGTAACTCAGCTTTACTTATCACGATGATGCTCATGGTACTTATACAAGTTTGTTTTTTCCATGTCTGCCATGTCAAATGGATTGACCCCGCCACTCTGGTAAGAGCAGGAGGTACATGTGCTAACTCACCTCATGTTTTTCTCTGTCCTTCAGTAGTAGATCTTTTGTGTATCACAGTTGTAGTGCAATGCTTTGAGTATTTTTTTTTAAACATTTTTTTAATGTTTAATTTGCTGTATTGTTCATTGTTGTCCCAGATGTGCATTTTACTAAAAGCCATTATTTTTGTCACTTCAGTCACCTAACCTAAGGTGTCTTTCGACTGTATCCTCCATGCAGTCCATTAATTAACAATAAAAAGGGTCTGTTGTCCTCATCCGTTGCCTTTTCTAAAATAAGTAATAAGAGTATATACGATTTATGCCGATATCATATCAATATATTGGAAATCTATTTTCTACAAAGTTATCAGTGATTTTACACATGCTATAGGTTGCAGCCACCGTTGCAGAGCTTTTGTGAAACAGCCTTAAATTGTTATTAGTGTTATAACTAGTTGTCCTTTTCTGTTAGCTACATTTAATTATTGGTGTTACTGAAAAGGTGATCTATCTTTTCAGATGATTAGAGCTGCAGGTTTTTAGTAGTTTTGAGAGAGAGAAGTTCTGGGTAGGAAATAGTCGAAACACATCTGACACTGTAAATTCACTGTTTAGAGCATCTACTTAATGCATGTCTTTGTTAAAAAACAAACAAAAAAGCCAAACAAAATTGTCCTTAATAGGTCAACTAAAGAGTCTATCACTGATAGGCTTGCATGTGGCCTGAAGGAGGTGCTTTCTGCATGAAGTCTGTGTATCCAAACACAACCCCATGATATTCATTGGATATCAGAGACGGAGTGAGTCACGCCTGGAAGAGTGGGCACTGCCTCGCCTTCCACTGCCAGGTTTCCCTCCCACTGTGGGACACTTGGCCGTAGACTCTGTGGTGGTGGCACCTGCGTTTGCCAAATGTTGTTCAGTCTTTCTTTTTCAAATCCAAAGCAATTTTTTTTCCTTATATCCATATTTTTTTGTTTTTGTTAAGGAGCAACAAAAAGTTTGTCAGAGCCAGAAAAAACCTTTCATTTGCTCGTCTTACCGGCACATCGAATTTTACATGTGAAAACAACAGAGAGAAGAATTGTGTTTACTCATTTGAACTGTCACTTACGTGTCCCCAAGAAGTTTCTTTTGCTTTGCCTTCCAGTGTCTGATCACATGGTGCTTATTTACAGTCAGCTCAAGCTGTCCGAGGAATATCAGTTGTTTTGTGTTCTGTAGTTTTGTCTTTAAATGGTAAGTGTGCTGTAAGTTACTGACTTTCAGTAGTTAATGTAAAAAAGCAAAAGCAAAAAAAACTGTTACGTTATTTAAACTAAAACTTCTGTATTTACAGGCTAACCTCCTAAGAGTCTTAAAGATGATTTGTGATTTTACTGATACTCTTTGAACCTTTTCTAATTTTATTACATTGCAGACACAAATTTATTGTTTGGATTTTTTGTGCTACACCAACACAAAGTAAGTACTTTGTAGAATTACGTCTACCAGCTTTTTGTGACCACAGACTAAAATAATATGTTTTTAGAAATAATTGGCAAGATTGTCCTGTATCCTATGGCAGCAAATTAGTGCCATTGTAGATTTTTTTTTGAGTAATTTTTCACCCAAACAGACAGGAATTTTGAGATTAATATCAGAAACTTTCTGAAAAAAATGTGAAAATTTTGCCTCTGATTTTGGTCTTAATCCCAGAGATTTTTCAGAAGTTTGAAAAGTCGATGAAAAATAAACAAAAAGAAACAAGTTCACATTTATTCATTACCTTGTTTTTTTGTCGCATAAAATCCATTATCAAACACATGATGTTTGTGTTTGTAATTTGATAAAACATGGAAAAGTTCAAATGTTAGTTCACGTTAAGATTTAACCTTCAAATAGAGAACATTATTCAGTCTGTGCTCCTAATTTCTTCTGTCATTTAGATGAATCTATGAATGTTCTGTCTTGTCTGCTCTAAAGTTCTCTAAAAGCTCTGTGAAGGGGCTTATGTTTTTGTTTTTTTATTTGATTTTTTTTTTTAACCGTGCGGTTTAGGTTTTGAGAAGAAGGGAAGAACACACGTGGCAACTGTAGCAAATTTCTCTGGAAAAACCTTTCAAATTGACACGCAAACATCAACCTGAATCACACCAGAAAGTCGTAGTTTGAAAACACTTCCGCAGAGATTCACACGTTCTTTGACCTTTAACTCCTTCCCAGGTGCTGAAGGGTTTCCCAGAGTGCCTGCAGGCAGATATTTGCCTCCACCTGAACAAGAGCCTCCTCCAGGGGTGCAAGGCGTTTCGTGGGGCCACCAAGGGCTGCCTCCGCGCCCTGGCCATGAGGTTTAAGACCACCCACGCGCCTCCAGGAGACACGCTGGTCCACAGTGGAGACGTGCTCACGGCGCTCTACTTTGTGTCGCGCGGCTCCATCGAGATCCTGAAAGATGACATTGTGGTGGCCATTCTAGGTGAGTTGTTGCTTTATCTTTAAGCCCCAGCAGCACTTTTTAATGACGAACAATCGGTGATGTATGAGTATCAGTGCCTTTCTAGGCAGAAAATAAATGAACGGTGAAGGTCCTCCCGAAAATCTGAATTTTCTGAAAAAAAGCACGGGATTTTCAGAATTTCACAAGTGGAAAACGTTTGACTTTTGGAAATTTTCTGTTTTAAAAGTCAACAAATTTTTTTCCTCCATTGTTTTTTTATGTCTATTTCAAACAGAAAAAATATTCTTGAAAATAATTAATCAGTAAAGTAACTGGATTGCTTTCTTGAAGAAGTAACTAGAAACTAATATTTTTCATAACTTGAAAAAACACCAATAGCATTTCATATCTTAAATAAATCAATTGCTCAGTTTGTTCTGAGTATTGTGTATGTTTGGTGTATAATTGGAAATAAATACACAATTCCAAAGAACAGTAAAGTTGTGCACCTAGAAATCAAATCCGCTTCTTCCCATCGTAATGACTCTGCATTAGTTATAAAGTGTGTTTGCTGCAACTAAATCATTGGTTATAGTGGCGTCACCCACACAGACAGACTCATAATTCAAAAATTAAAGTAGAAATGCACATGGTTTTTAATAAGCCTTGTTAATGAGTCACTGTGACATCAAAAGAAGCACAAATTGGCGGTCCCATCAGTGCAGGCTGCTTAGCTTTGAACTCCCCTCTTTTTAGCACTAAGTACAGATGGCTACGTTGCCCTGCGATACGACTGGGTTCGCTGCTGTTTTGTGTAAAGTTTCCCAACGTCAAGTGAACAGAAAAGAGTGGAGGCGGACACTTAATGGAATGAAAGTAACAAGAAATTCAGCGTTTGCTAATGGAAAAAAAAAAAGAGAAAGCCAGGCTGCAGATAGAAACAGATAAAAATAGAAAGTAAAAAGAAGAAGAAATGATGATGAAAGTAAAATGACAGAAAAGGGCTGGAGAGATATTTTTCTGTGTGATTGTGTCTGTGTTGGGATGCCAAGCATGACCGCCGCTGCAGCCGCAGCATAAATTGCTATCGACATCTTCCAGATATAATTAGAGCACTTTTCATTTGCTCTCCTTTCCTCTCATCCCACAAAAGCAGCAGGTGTTTTCCACTTTACGAGTTTTCTCTCTTCTCAACGTAGTCCCAGTTTGAAGCTGTAATGAAACTGGTTTTCTAATTCGGTTCCCAAGCAAGCACTGAAAAAAGCTTTTCAGATACTAAAACTGGAGTTACTTTCACCATGTTAGCAAAATAGCAAACACAGATCAATGTCCTGAATAAAGTCTGATTCTCATCAATGTTTGTATTAAGTTCTCACTATTTACTGGCGTTGAATGGATCTGCTTTAATAACCACTGGATTCAAAAACCTCATTTGTAACTTTTTAACAGCAATGTTTAATATTTTTCGTTTGGGATCAATAAAGTTAAAGTCTTAACATCTTTCTTTCTCTTAGCTGCTAACAACTAATGAAAACACATTTAAAAATAGAACACTACAATAAAAAAATACAATAAAACAGAAATGTGATTTTAAAAAGATATTTTAATCTTTCAAACGAGTCAGCGGAATGTATTTTTTTAATTTACAGAGGTTTCTGCACCTCTACCATCGGTTACAGATACGGCTGTTTCTGTGAAAAACGTGAACCACATCACTCCTCCGATGAATAAGTGAGTCCCGACTTGTGTTTTCTTATCTTTGAGTAACACGTCTGTCGTCCTCCTACGTGCTCTTCAGGTAAAAACGACATCTTCGGCGAGATGATCCACCTGTTCGCCAAGCCGGGGAAGTCGTGCGCCGATGTCCGCGCACTCAGCTACTGCGACCTGCACACGATCCAGAGGGAGGAGATCCTGGAGGTGCTCGACATGTACCCGGAGTTCGCCGACCACTTCTTCACCAACCTGGAGCTGACCTTTGATCTTCGGGATGAAAACGCAAAGGTAACAAGCATGAAGGTGAAACCAGAGACCGATCAAAGCGATTCAAAGGGATTTGAGGCCTTTCAAGAAAAAAACACTGATTCTGCTTTACTTTAAAAGACCACTGACTGGAATGAAAGCTTTTCTTGATTAATTCTGCTTAGCCCCTCTTTACTTAATTCAGTCGATTTATTCCGAAACGTTTTCGCTGAGTTGAACATTTGCCTTTTCGCTGCTGCTTTACTGGAAGGCGGAGAAAGATGGAGCATGTGTCCAGTTAGCATGGAAGAGTTGTTAGTCTGCATCACTGTGTCGTTTTATCTTAACTAGAGAGCGCCGGAACGCAGGTCGTAGTTGTCTTCAGTTATTTATTTAAAGAGGGCAGAGGAGATCAGACACATGAGAAACACGCTGAGATTAGGGTGAAAACAGGACGGAGACGGTGACCTAACGAGACCGGCAGCAGCTCCTGTTACTCACTTTACAAACCAAAAGGGCCAACGGCCACAACCTGTTCGAAAGATACTCAGACAAGTTAAACCTTTAAACATTTTGTCACGGCAAAACTTTTATGTATTTCATTGGGATTCTGAAAAGTGTGGTGTGCTTTTATGCCTATTAAAAAAAGCTAGTTACTTTTAAATTGACTTGATTTTAGTGTTAAGGTTGTTGGAATAATCTGGAGCTGTGATTGCAGCTGATTTTAGTTTAGATTTAGAAATGAGGAATTATCGAAGTGTTTAGGTATGAATTAATTCATCTGATTATTTTTGACTGTTTCTTATGAAAATACATTATTAATACAAAGTTTTAAATGGGAAGTAACAGATAATTGAGAGGACTTGTCGTCTATAGTTGTTCTCCAACATTCTCTCTGAGTGTTTTTGCTGGGCAAAACCTGTTTATGTTCCCTGCTGTGCAGACGACCTACCCCAGTGACTCTGACATGGCTGACGTGAAGAGCCACAGACGGGTTTCTTACAAGAGAAAATCCTCCACAGGTAAACCTGAATGATGATAATAACTGCAAAGACTAAAAGAAAAAAACCAGTATCCCAATATGTATGTTAAATAATAAGTTTTGTTGTGTCTATATTTTAAAATGCATTTCCTTTTTGAGGCTTTTAAAGTTTAACATGGAAGACTGACTTTGAGGTACTTGTAGGAGTTCGGGCAGATTGATGGGTAGGTGCTCGGTTGGCTCACTGCATAAAGACATGGGTTCTGGTTCCGATGGGTCTGAGTTCAAGACCTGCAGGTGGATGGTCTGTGTGCAGAGTGTAAGCCTGGGAGCACAATCTCTGACAATGTGTGTTAATTGGCACATGTCAGGGAGGTTTCACTCAAAGAGTTGGAAAGAGGAGGTGGTCGTGTCACAGTCTGCATTTGGTTTTCTCCAACGGAAGCTGAGTGTTGATACAGAAGTTGTCGGATTACAGTTTATCTCTGGTCCTATGGAAGTGAAATAAAGAGGATAACAGTGGAACCTCAGTCGGATTTCCAACTTGAACTTTAAAATTCAAGCAGTCTCTCTGAATGCAGAGTGTGCTTTGAAGAGTTCTGCCTGCGGGTCTTGAACTCAGACCCATCGGAACCGCAACCCCTGTCTTTACGCAGTGCGCCAACCGAGCACATACCCATTGATCCGCTCAAACTCCTACAAGTATCACAACGTCAGTCTTCCATGTTAAACTTTAAAACCATGCCTTAACAGGTTTTCACCTCTTTTTTTAATATTTATTTGTTTTTTTAATTTATTTATTTTATAATTTATTTTTTTTTTTATAATTTATTTATGTATTTATTTATTTTTTATTATTATTATTTTTTTTATATTTAAAAATCCTGTGTTGTAGAAAAAAATAATAGACTCTTCTTGGGATAAGTTATAACACAGATAATTCCCAATTTTTACAACAAATCCTGTATGTTTTTAAAAATGTGAAAAAAACGACATACTAGAGTATGTCGTCAAAAAAAAGACAGAGTGACAAAGTGTGACGTATGATTGCCTGAGTTCTAAGGACATTTAGTTGATGAAAACCTAAAAGGTTCTACCTGTTTGTCCTCAGTACAACCCCCAACGTAAAGCCAGTCTGTCTGTTGTCATCCCAGAGGAAGTATGTGCGTAGAACTTCCTGTTGCCTGATTACCATTCCTCCCTACAGACTCGCACAAAAAGGAGCCGGCGGGCCCGCACTGCGACGCCAAGAAGGGCCGCGGCGTCTTCGCTGAGGACAGGAGAGAGTCCACCGAGGAGGGGGAGGAAGACAAGGATGAGGACGAGGAGGAAGGCAGGGAAGAGGAAGAGGAGCAGAGGCCCTTATGTTCTGGTGTGCTTGGTTACCCGGTTGTTAGGGACCACAACTTGGGTCTCGGTCTGAGCAGGGCTCCTGAGGCACAGGCTGAAGGAAACACACAGAACCAGGAATATAAAGGTGATTCTGTTCTTCATTCAGTAAAATGTCTTTGCTTAAAAAATATCTGGTTGGATTCAGGTTCAGACTAAATTGTACTCAAAGCAGTTAGTCTATAAGCAAAGCTGTTCATTTCTAAAACAGCGTCTCAAAACTAAACCTGATGGAGCAAAGCTAATGTTTGCGTAACCTCTTCCAGAAACACTGGACATAAACAGTTACTTGTTTAATTTTTTACATTTATTTTTAATTTAGCTGCAAAAATTTATTTGAATTGAAAATCTTGCTTATTTTGCAGATATATAGTTTTCAAATAAATTCAATGAACTCAATTAAAATGGTTAATATTCATACAAATTAAACTTGTACGAAATCTGAAATTCTTTATCTTTGTACAATTTACTAGGAAGAAGCAAAACTTAGTGCCACACTTTACTAATATGATGACTCTAGATAATGATTAGTGTTAAAATGAACATTAACTCCTTGCTGCACAGAACAGAAAGAACAAAATAACATCTGTAATGTTGGATTGATTTGTAACAGGAGATCTGGGCAGAACTTCAGTCGCCCCACAGAAAGCTGCGACGTGAGGAAACGGTGTCGGCGCGTTGATTTGATAGTAATATCCCATAATTCAGCTGTTACAGCTGAAAGAGGATTACTGCCAACGTAGAGAGCAGTGATATTGATTACAGCCCAGGGAGGGAATGTCAATTTAATGTCAGGCCATTCATTTCTGAAAGGAGGCAGAAGAAATCTCCTGCCGAGAGCCTGACTGGCTGCGTGCGTTCTCTGGTGCAGCAGAGAGATTCAGAGAGAAATCAGGACTATTTATGCAAAGTCTCGATACTTATTCAACTTTCATGCAGTTTGTCACATTACCGTACTGCTTTCTCTTCATGACCTTCGATGAGATAGATCAACACTTTTTTGTCCAAAGTGTGTGGCATGCATCCCCTTCCTGAAGCATGGCAGTGGCAGTATCATGCTGCCTCCTTCAGCAGGGAATTCTGAAGTAAAAACCTAAAATGTGAAGGTAGAGAGTCACGTTCACTTTGATGTTCAAAATCACTTAATGGTTTAACTGATCTCTAGTTCATCTGCAAATGGATGCAGAGCTGAACACAGCAGGCTCTGGAGAGGGTGAAAACATTTCAACTGCTGAGGTTCTCAAAATTGCCCTCCTAACGACAGGAATGACACACTTATCAGATTTGTTTCATAGAAGCTCAAGACTTTTTCTTTTTAGTTTGAAAAGCCATGTCCCACTTTCTTTTCTACGCTAAAATGTCAATATGTCCGACGCCCCACCACTAACCTCCCGTCTCCTCCCAGAGCTCCAGGCAGAGGACTGGGTGCAGCCTCATCCCGGCGCGACGGCTGAGGAATCGGCTCAAAATCGAGACGCGGCCGGGGAGGACGACAGCGACACGGACCTCACCTACGGAGAGGTGGAGCAACGGCTGGACCTGCTGCAGCAGCACCTGAACAGGTGGGAGAAGGGACTCTCTGCTCCTTTCAGACATCAGGGTCTTCACCTGACGGCCCACTGCTGCGTTTGACTCCCATTTCCTGTAATAGGCCTTTTTATTTTTCATCACCGTCCTCTACAGCTCACAGAGCGGAGCCCATAATTTAAACTCTAATTGGCTGAGAACTCGCACATACATTTGAGACCAGACAGTGGAGGCTGATGCAAGGGGAGCGGCTGGCCGGGCTCCTGCTCTGATCCAGATGAGGGGGAATCAGCCAGCAGAGGCTATTTATAGAACGCTGCTACGAGGTGCAGACTGCTACGTCACAACAAAGTCACAGAGGCCCGCAAAACAACTTCCCAAGCTGCTTTTTTCTACTATTCAGCCATTGATGCACTATCGCGTAAACTGTACAGTGCTTTAAAAAATAATTCACATTAAACTTTAGTCCTTGGTAATATTTTCTCTCTGCTTTTAACATGTCAACTTTAGGTCCACCATGTTCTTAAAATTGTCTATTTTCATTTACCATAATGAGTTTTCATCATGTCATTATTTAGAACATGATTCAGGATTCTTGCAGCACTTATTTCCTCTTAAGAGTCACCTGGCATTCGGATTGACATAGTTTGTTCTTTTTCCATGTGCTTTATGTTATAAAGAAGGTGCTATACTTCTATTATAGAGGGTAACTTCTCAGGTTGGAGGGTCAGTGTCTCCATCTAGTGTTGTAAGTGGGCGTTGAGACCCGACTTGTTTAACCGGTGAATTTCAGCAGATCTGATTGATGTTTGCTCATTTTCAGTCCTTTAATTTCTTCCCAGTGCATGTTGAGAAAACGATCCTGATTGCTGCAGCTCGGGCACAGCAGAGCAATAAAAAGAAAAGTAAATAAATAATCTGTAGTGATGAGATCACAGCAAGAGCTAAGTAGTTTAATGCAATCATTTCTGCTAATGTTTGGCTTGGTTTAGGAATTAAGTAGCTGCAGAAGGATTGATTTAGGAGCACAGATGTGCTCATTTGTTTTCTCCTCCAGGTTTACTCTCTCATTAAGTTAACTGATGAAACCCAGACTGATGGATTTCCTCACAGAAACCATTCCTGTGCGTGTGTTGTATGTGTGATCAGACTGGAATCCCAGATGACTGCAGACATCCAGGCCATCCTGCAGCTCCTCCAAAGGCAGACTGCTGCCGGGCCCCCCGCCTACAGCACCGTCACCTCCAGCCCAGAGTATCACAGTCCACCCATCAGGGTCCAGCCGGCACCGGCCCTCCAGATGGACCTCAGCCTGGACCCGGCTCCGCCTCTGCCACAGGTGAACTGGAATGACACACTGTGTGTTAGTTAACACTGCTACAGTCCAACACCTGGTCTCAAAACTTTTCTGTTGCCTTTATTTTTCTATCACAGCTTTTCAGAATTCACTCAGTTGAAATCTGTAGAAGTGGTGCTTTTGTTTTCTAAAATAAATCTGTGTGCTTCCAAAAGTGGAACCTTTGTGTAACCTTTCCTTAGGGTCCCGACTCAGAGAGCTCTGCTATGAAATCCAAAGACCCCTCTCCAGTTGTCCACACACAGACTTTTCCAGCTGGGCTGCTGGACAGCGCCCCCTACCCAGAGCAGAGACACACGACGAGCGGCAGCAGCAGTCCGGCTACGCCGAAGCGGCAGGCTTCCCTCCCTGACGTCCCCGGCGGCTCAGGAACGTTGGGACTCCACAGGCCCGTGTCCGACCCGGGCCTTCCAGGACAGTAGCCCCACCCACAACCCTTCAAGACTAAAGGTCTTCTCTTAAGCTTGACTCAGGGTCTAAGAAAGAGACTGAATTTTGCAAAGGATTAAAAACTGTAGATTTTCTTCCATTCCTTTTGAGAACATTTCTGAAGCCCAGCCCTCCCCAGCTCTCATCTAGATGTACAAAATCCATTTATACTGAGGTATTTATACTCTATATTATTAAACATATGTAAAGTCACCATCAGCTATCCTGTACATAGTTCAAATAGATCACTGCCAGCAACACAAAGCACCTAATGTGCTACTTCTAGATATGCATGACCTACGCTCCCACGTTTTCCGTTCTGTTGCATGTTCCTCACACTGCCTGCGACTCCTGAGGCGTTCAGGTGTGATCGGCAGCATGCTCGGAATACCGTAGCTAGAGTTTTCCACATCTATATCCTCTACATAAGGAACAAAGCTACTTGAAACTCGCTGAGGCATTACTGCTAAATAATATAGGCCCTACTTTACTAGAGCTCAGAGGTTACGTTATTAGCACTTATACTTTCTGGAACTCATCAGCTAACCTCAAAGTTCAGAGAAAATACGGCATGTATTATGCGACGCTGCCCTGTGTTGTAGATTTTACGCCACCGCTTTAAAGTTTGAACCTTTTTCCCCCCCCCATGAGATCTGTGTGTATATTTAGCGTGCCTACCGTCCGTCCACCGCCACCGGAAGAACGAGACCTCGCCTTTTGAGAGCAATAATGACGGGCCAGTGCAGGCGACACTGGTGGACCTGGTCAGAGAAAGACCAGAATAGTGTTTCTGATGCATTCATTTGCTTTGTCATCCACATGTCACGTAGGACAAATGAGTTAAAATCGACATCATCCAATTTAGAGAGAACGTCACTTAAGTTTTCAACAATTGGTACGACAAGTACCCTGTTCCTTCAAATGTCATAGTAACACCTAAAGGAAAAGGATGTGACAGTAAAAGCTAGAGGTCAAGGCTCTCTGATACCCTTCGTTGTCTTTTCTGTCACTGAGAGCAGGACGGTGCCTGGACGGTCCTGCTGGGGACGGTGAATGCTTTAGGTCTTCCATCGTTTTCTGAGAAACTACAACTTCCTGAAAGAAAGCATAATCAGAAAAACTAGAGATAAAAAGAGTTTGGCCTTAGTTGTATTCACTAACAGTAGTGTTAACCATCATTTTAACTTGCTGTGCGTGATGAAGTGGATTTGTTTCCTGTTCTAAAACGGCATTGACCCCGACAACGGCGGTGGATTCTGGGTCTCCAAGTAAACATTCAGCACAACATCTGCAGAACCCGCTATTTTTCTAAACTGTACCCATTTCATTGGTTGTTTATGTTTTATGGTTTCTGAGCCTGCTGTGGGAATGCAATACATCACCTCTTAATGTAGCAAGGCAGAAAGACGTTTATCCTATACAGCGGTGTGAAGAAGATGTTTTAAATCTGGTTTCTATTTTTGGATGTTTAGTTTTGTATCAAACTCATTTTATTTTCAGACATAATACAAAATGCAGTCATCAAATATCATTTGTCAAAGTTAAAAACCAAAATTTTCCTCAAATGGCCATGTTGGTTTGGTCCTTTTATTCTCATAACAAATAAAATCTGCCTTTTGTATTAACTTGTGTTATATTTTCCATTAAAACTTGTTTGATCTGAAAGTAACAAACATGCAAAAATAGAAAGGCGTGAGGAGACCAACCTTTTCCCAGCATTGTAAAGTCTTTCCGTTTCTCCATCCACTTATTCCGCATGCAGAATCCAGCGAGTTCTTACCGATCCCTCGAATCGCACCGGCAGAATATCTAACGTGAAACGGACGTCAAACAGACCTAAAGAGAAATTGTTCGAGTGTTTCCAGCGTCGTGCCGCCTCCTTCCTTTGCTCATCTGTCTTGAGACGCAGAACAAAAGTTGCCGGCTTGTCTGCTGAACTTTTGATGGGATTTGCAAACTTTTGCACAGAGATACGCAACCTTTGCTGTACTGGATCTAAATGTCACTTTTTAAATCTAGTGCTGTTCACAATTGTTTTTATGCATTTTTTTAAACGTTTGCCACTGTATTTTATACAATACGACACTTAACAGCTACTCTGAATGTTTCTGTTCTTAACTATATTTAAAGAATTGAAGTATATTATGTAAATAGACTGGGAAATGATGCACAATTGTATAAATGAATAAAGAAAAATGAATGATTGTAATGTGTTTATTTGAACAAAAATATGAATTTGTTACAGAAGAGCGATTGTTTGGCTTTGAGTGCGGGATTTCAGGCACTACCGATAATCACAGGTAAACATGAATAGCAAATATCGCATGTGATCCTTTATGATAAACATTGCTGAAAATGTCTTTTTAAATTAAATCACCACTTTAGGATAATTTCTTCTGCAATCAAGGTTCACAGCATGCATTGTTAACTATAAAAAAAGATATACTTCAGCATATATTCTGATTATAATGGCACAACAGGTGTAAGTACATTCCTTATGCAACAGTTCATTATACTATTCCAAAGTAAAGGTCAATTAGATTAGCAGGTGTGCAGCGAATTGTCCAAAATTCCCCTTTAATGTCAATAAGTCTATATCTGTGTTTGCATTATAAATATCCAACACAAACCAAAGCGTTACAACGTGGAGTTGTTTCCTGCCGTGTGATATACTGGCCGGCTCACGGTGCTGTGCTGACCTGACTGTCCTGGATGCTCTGACCTCTGGTGTGGGGCAGGAGGCGGGGCTTAGATGGCCATTGTGCACAGAATGAACTGTAGACAGAGGGAGAGAACATGCAAAGCACATTCAGCAACAATCTGACAGATAAAGCTGCTCTTTTATCTTTAATCAGAGCGCAAAGTCCAAGTGTTGCACCATCAGATAACATAGCAGGTGTGCATGGAATTATGGGAAAGCCTCAATACTCTACAGATACAAATACTGGCTGCCAAGTCAACATCCAAGTCGAGATTACACCGAAAATGACTCAGATATTAGAAAAACTGCTGGGAGACAAAACTTTTAAAGGGCCAGTATTCCAGGCACAGTGCCATTTTATAACTCAAATATAACATAAAATAAATTTGACTTTGTAATTTAACAAATTGAGCCTCTGTATCTTTAAAAAAAATCTTGCTGAAGACATTCAGGAAGTCATCGCAACAGTTTTTTCTCCATTAACCCTTTAGCAGCGATTTAA